ATTTAATAGTTTGCCACATCATTGGATTTGAGAAGTGACAAACATTTAGGTTAAAGTAACACTATTTTTTCAATCATTTTGGGTATGGAATTTACTCACAGAGTTGGTGTTGTATTTATGATATAAGAATTACTTGATTTTACAAGCTTTACACGCATTTCTCCTTATCACTATTTAATCTCTTATGTTTTCATCATGTTTGACCAATTTTCATTAAGATGGCCAAAAGAGAGAAATGGAAAGGGAGAGATGAATCATTAGAAGTATTATCTCTATCACTTGCAGAGAAAGGAATACTTCTATAAAAGAGACTCAAATTTCATAACTCAACCACCAAACAAGAAAGAGATATAGAGAGAAATATGAAGCTAGTAACTTCTATAAAAGAGACTCAAATTTTGGTCTGTCTTACCATTGCGGCAGCTTGACTTGCAATTTTGAACAATTGTTGATAAGTTCAGCAAAATAAGAATGTCTAGTGATTGATTATTATTTTGATGCTGACTGCATGTATTCATTCCATCAGAAAAGCTGTCTAGCCCAGTTGACAAATACAATATCTTATTAATTACAGTACTTGCCCTTATTAAATATAGGTTCACCTTTCAAAGAAAAAGAAGAAGAAGAATAAGAAGGAGAAGAACTAACAAGGTAAAAGTACTAATATCACAAATTTTTAATTTCTCACTTTTCTAAATCTATTAAGACATGATGTGATTTGGTGTTGAAAATTGGTGGATAATTGTAGATTGTGTATTTGATGTGATTGTGATTTTGAGTTGATTTAGTACAGATGTAGTATGCGGTAGAGTTTTTATGATGTATACAAGCTAATTCCATTTGGGTTTTGCTTAATTTTACTGTATAAAAATTGAGGGTATGAAAACACACACTTTGAAATAGATATGTGTTGTACAGGCATAGAGAATTTCTTCAGGTTGGAATGAGCTGGAATGCATGTGTTGTAGCCTTGAGTTAATGCTTTTGGATAGTTTACTTTAGTTGGCAATGGTGGTTGGTTTCATCTGGTATTAACACAGACATATAAAATTTCTTCTCTATTCTCCATGTATAAGCTTTTATTACACATAATGATATATTGCTCATGTGGACAAATGTGTTTTAGAACATTCTGATTATGGTCCAAGCCATATAGGTGATTTTCATTAAGCTGGTCGTTGTTTTTCGTGCTGAGAAACCTGTGTTATCTTAGGAACTAAATACTTTGTGTCCGAAGTGGAAAACTTTCCATTTTAAGTAATTTGTGCATTAATTGAAGTAGAATATTTTATGTGTTATCTTAGGAACTAAATGCTCTGTGTCCAAAGTGGAAAACTTTCCATTTTAAGTAATTTGTGCATTAATTGAAGCAGAATATTTTATGTATTTTTTGTACTAACGTTATATTGTAACTCCTAGGCAGTTCATATTAATATTTGGAAGAGTATTGTAATATTTTTCAAATTTGTATTTGCATTCATGTTAACATAGTAAATGTCTGTTTTAGTTGCTTTTGTTACTGATAGTGTGAGATGTGTGTAGCTACTTTTCTTTTTGTGCGTGCTTTGGCATTAATATTCTTAGTAATCTTGTGTAGCTTATTTTTCTTTTTTCAGAGAAACGATACGTTGAGTATGACATGGGATTATGTACTTTCTAATAGTTTGAAATACCTAAAGTTAATTTGACCTAATGTGACTATTTAAAATAATATTCAGTAGCTTGAACTTCTCATATTTATTTTTGTTATCTATTCACTGCACATCTTTTATTGGCTTTGTTTTTGTTATTATTATGATTGGCAGAGACCGAGAGGATTGAAGGCCATGGAAAGCAGCATGGAGAGCAATTCAGAATGACGGTGAAGGATGGATGGGGCTTTCCTTTGAATTTTTATTTCTCTTTTTTTTTCTTTTTTTTTCCTTTGATCTGACTGGGGAGTTGGGTGTTTTGGTTTACTTTCTTCTTATTTTTTGTGTTAAATGGGGGAGTGGTGAGAGAGAGAAGGAGGTAATGTTATTTCATGGCTTTGTATACAAGGTAGTAATTTTTTGATTGAGAATTGTGAATTCAATTTTTGGATATGTTATTTTGTGGGTTATGGTGATTGGATATTAAATTGAATAATGTTGTATTTGCTATTTGAATGGGAGTTATTATTTCATATTAGTGCTATTCAGTTTTATTATAAGTGTTTTTTTAGTTCAATCACATAAAATTAGCACGATTTCAAAAAAAGAAAAGAAAAAAAAGAAGATAAGACGGCGTTTCTAAAAACGCCACTATCATACTAACGATTGGAATTTTTAAAATTAAAAAAACCTACAACAGCGTTTTAAAAACGTCACTAAAACCATAGTGACATCACAATATCATTATATAAAAATGAGATTCCAACCAATCTCCACCATTTTGCCAACATCTAACCACTAACAAATCTAAGGGTATTTTTGGTATTAAGACCGTAGGAATTGTTGACATTAATTTAAAAGTTAAAAAATTATTAAAAAAATTAACAAAATATATAAAAAAATATAAAAAATTATTTTCTTTTTAGTTTTTAGTGAAAATTGTTGAAAAATCTAAACTAAGAAGGATATAATGCATTAAGTTTAGTGTATACTTTTTATTAGTGAAATATTCACATTTTGTGAAATAATTTGGTGAGAAATCATTTTGTTAGTTTAAGAGGATATTTTGTTTCTAATTTTATCCCTTAATTTATCTGTTAAATTTTTTTGATTATCTGTTCAAGTTTTTTTTCTATCTATTCAAATATTTTTTATCTGTTCAATTTTTTTGACTATCTGTTTAATTTTCCCATTATTTATTCAAATATCTATCCAAATTTTATTATCTGTTCAATTTTCCCCTCTTATCTATTCAGATATTTATCCAAATTTTATTATCTGTTTGATTTTTTTCCTTGAATTCTATCTGTCAAATTTTTGTAAGCAAATTTGAGTTTTCTCTCTATCTCTCTCTACAACAACATTTATCTTTTGAAATTTGGATTATGATCTGAAACCAAACTTCCTACTTAGCCAGGTTAGCAAGACCTTGCACGAATACAACAAGAATAAGAAATAAAATTGTAAGATCAAAGCATGCAAATATAACTGCCAGTTTAGAAATCCCATGAATGTTGATGAAAATAAAGGCCAGTAAACATCACAAGGCCCAAGGGCTTGCTTTGTAACCCACTATGTGGGGTTGTTTGATTGTTGCATGTGTAAAGCAATTGTAGTACCATACTGAGACTTGAAGGACACAAAGATAGCTTTAACTTCCTTAGATCGGAGAATTTTTTTAAGAAACATATCTCCCAAAAAAAAATACAATTTTTTCTAAAAATAGATCTACTTAAAAAAAAAATAATTAAAATACAAAATTTTTCTAATATATAAACTATCAACAACACCACTTGTTCAAAGCCTAAACTTCCATTAATGTTGCGAGATGAATTCATCAAATATTGCTTTTGTTGGATCTTTGTTTCTAGACCTGGATCTAGAACCTAGATCTAGAAAATCAAAACCCAAATCATCTCCATGAAACATATATATATATATATATATAGATGTGGAAGATCAAAACACAAATAATCTCGATGAAACATATATATATATAAAGTAAAGAGGAGAAGACAGAGGGCGATGACAGAGGTGGTGGCGGTAACAGTGGTGGTCGTGGCAGTCATGGTAGTGGTGGTAGAGGATGAGGCGACTACGTTGGTGTGAGAAGATCGACGGTACTTAGATCTATGTTCGATGAAGATCGGTGACGACGGAGAGTGAAGAGAAGAGAGAGAAAAGGCAACAAAGGTAGTGGCAACGACAATGGTCGTTGCGACAGCCACGGTAGCGGTGGCGGAGGAGAACGCAACGACGTCAACATTGACGTGGGAGATGAAGAGAGAGAGAACAAGATAGAGAGGATTGGATTTTTTTATTGAGTTCTCTCAAAAGAGTCAACAAAAAAAAGTCACCAAAAATATCAAAAAACTAAAAAGTGAATTTTTTACCAACTTTTTAAAACACCTCAAACTTTTTAAACGGTTGGTAAATTATCAATAGGTTTTACTTTGAGGCCCCGTTTGTTTTGGGTGAAAGAGAGAGTATTGGGATTGCTAATACCAAGGTATTAGTAATTAGGGGTGAGCATGGTCCGGATTGGACCGGATTGGAGTGAAACCAGAATCAATCCGTTATTTACGGATCCTGAAAAATTGGTATTACTAATACCCTTGGAGAGGGGATTGGTAAGGAGGATGTAGAGATGGTATTAGAAAAATAGTGAGGGGATTAGAAATTTTTTTATTTTTTTTATTTTTATATATGGGAAATTTTTTTTAAAATATAATTTTTAATTTTTTATATTTTTTTATTTGTTTTATTATTTTATATAAAAATAATTTAACAATTCCTCACTACTAATCCCCTCACCATCAATCCCCTCACTATCAATCCCCTCCATTCTATCTCCCAAAACAAACGGGGCCTCTGATTTATAATCATTAAGTCTTATTGATAAATTTTTCATTATAAATTTGTTGATAAATTTATCAGTCCGAATTGATAAGTAAATAAGTTTAATTAATAGAACTGATTAATAAGTATCTTTTATAAAATATATATCTATTAATGGATAGTTTAGTTATTTTACAACAATTTGTTCTTATAAATAAAGTGGTGTTTTGAAAAATTGATAAAAAATTAATTTTTTGACTTTTTAATTTTTTAAAAATTATTTTAGATAAAAAAATTGATTTGTTTTGATTAAAAAAATTAAAAAATTAAAAAATAACTTTTTACTATTGTTGCCAAAAGGCGCCATAATATTTTAAAGTATGTAACTTTACGCAAAGAAAATCGATAATTTTCATTATATTTTAACTAAAAAATTAAGAAAATTACTAGGAAAATAACATGGTTAGAAACAGTGAATGACTCGTTTCTCGACTTTTCTACCAAAGAGGTTCCTTATAGCTAAAGTTCCTAGTTTAACCAACCAAAACTCAGATCTCTCTCTCTCTCTCTCTCTCTCGTCTCCAGATTCTACCCCATCTCCCTCCTCCACCGCCACCACCAAAAATGGCGATCGCGGCGGTCATAGCCGCCGTCATCCTCTCTCTCCTCCTCTCCCCCACTACGGCCGAGATCAAAAACCTAAAAATCACCGCCGACGCCCGGTTCATGATCCTCTTGGAGAAGTTCGGATTCACTCACACCGGTCACGCCTCCATCGCCGTCGCCGGCGTCTCCGTCACCTCCACCCTCGCCCCCCCCGATCCCTCCCGCCTCGGCTTCTTCCTCCTCTCCGAAGAATCCCTCATCCAAGTCCTGCCCGAGCTCCAACAAAACCCTAATTTCTGCGTCCTCGATTCCAAACACATCACCTCCCTCTTCACCTTCCGCGAGCTCTCTCCACCTCCCCACTCCTCCTACAACAACTCCTACACCGTCACTTCCCCCAATGAGTACATTCTCTTCTTCTCCAATTGCGCTCCCGAGAGCCAAGTCTCCATGAATGTCCACACCGAGCTCTACAATCTCGACTATGGCGTCAAGGACTTTCTCTCCGCTGGCCTCACTCACCTCCCAACCCTCTTTTTCCTCTTCTCCATTACGTATTTCGCCTTCCTAGGGTTTTGGATTCACATTTGTTATAAAAACAAGCGATCTGTTCATCGGATCCATCTTTTGATGTCTGTATTGATTTTGATGAAGGCTTTGAATCTGATCTGTGCCGCGGAGGACAAGCATTACGTCAAAGTCACCGGTACGCCTCACGGTTGGGATGTCTTGTTCTATATCTTCCAGTTCATTAGGGTTGTCTTGTTGTTTACTGTGATTGTTTTGATTGGGACTGGTTGGTCGTTTTTGAAACCCTTTTTGCAAGAGAAGGAGAAGAAGGTGTTGATGATTGTGATTCCCCTTCAGGTTTTGGCTAATGTGGCCTCGATTGTGATTGGTGAGACTGGGCCTTTTATTAAAGATTGGGTTACTTGGAATCAGGTGTTTTTGTTCGTTGATATTGTGTGTTGTTGTGCTATTATTTTCCCGATTGTGTGGTCGATTAGGTCGCTGAGGGAAACTTCCAAGACCGATGGGAAGGCTGCGAGGAACTTGGCAAAGTTGACTCTTTTTAGGCAGTTCTATATTGTGGTGATTGGGTATTTGTATTTCACGAGGATTGTTGTGTTTGCCCTCAAGACAATTGCGGCTTATAAGTACCTGTGGGTGAGTAATGCTGCTGAGGAGATCGCAAGTCTTGCGTTTTATATGGTGATGTTTTATATGTTCAGGCCAGTTGAGGAGAATGAGTACTTTGTTCTTGATGAGGAGGAAGAAGAGGCAGCAGAGATGGCGCTTCGGGAGGAAGAGTTTGAGCTTTGAAAGAGCAGATTTGTTGATCCTCTTCGTCCATTTTGCTGCTCTTGGTGTTGCATACTGTGAGTTGTTTAGTGAATTACAAGTAGATTTTCGGTTAATGCGGCTTTACCCTTTTGTTTTTCTTGTCATAAGACCGTAAGATATTCAAAATATATCGAATAGTTTTTTATGTTTTTCTGTATTTTACTGATGGAACTTTGATGTCATTTTCTTGCTGATGATTGTACTTCTAAAACGTTACCTCACACATTGTTATTTCTGTCAATTGTGGCTTTCCCTTATTCATTTTCTTCTTTCTGATTGCTCAGAGTCTGATCTTTAATTTTATGCATGTTATGGTAATTTTATGCATGTTCTGATAATTGTATGCACATGGGTGGCATGTTGTTTGGACAATTTGTATGTTGACACTGTGGATAGAGAAGAACTAGACAGTAATGCTACTATTGACTCATCCATGAGTAAAGTTTTGAGTTTTAGCCAGAATACATTAATGCGTAGGTGGATTGAAACCTGTTGTCCATGTAACAAGAAGCTAATGTGAGATGATCTCGAACATGTGAAACCCCAACCATGTAAGATGAAAATGATGTTTTGAAACCCCCGCCAGAATAAACAACACTCATGCTATGTGGCCTTTTGCGGAACCTGTGATCTACCAAAGGCAATTGTAGTCAACAAAACTTGAGAAAAATCAATCTCATGACCATAGAAATTGAACCATCTCTAAGCCATTTCAGATGTAAAAAATTATTAACCCATTTTGGAGGAAGAGGAGGGAAAGGCATCGGAGTAGATAGAAGCAAAATGAGCTTAGATCTGCATAAATATAAAAATCTCAGCAATAATAAGCTGAAACTCTGGTATCTCACTTGTTGGGGATTGGAGTCGTAGCTGTCCTTGTCAGTCTATGCAAATATGAGTGAGGGATTATTAGTGTTGGAGGAGGGAGGGCGAGTCCATCCACACGGAGAGAGTTTCGTAAGAGAGGAGAAAAGAGGAAAAAAAAAGATGGGGGTGAGAAATATCTAAGGCTGCGTGAGATGGGTGAAATGAGAAACTCTAGTTTCTTTTAGGCATATATACCCAGCTTGCGAGCCTACTTGAGCGGAGCCGTGATATGCTTGAACTCGTCTTGTTTGGTAAACAAGCCTAAAAAGGGGCTCGAGTTCATTCAATTATGAAACAAATTGAGTTCAAAAGAGTCCATAACAAGCTGGGCTTGAATTGTTTATGAATAATTTGGTTTGTTTGTAGCCTTAATCATGATGGATTCATAGCAAGGGCTATGCTTTATTGATGATTTGATATTGCATGGATATAGAAGGAAGGAGGGCAGTAGCTGGTCACACAATTGCCTTATTTCGTTGGAGATAGATTTCTTAGGGAGATTAGGAACAATACATTCTTTTGGTCTTGACCGATATTGGCCACTTCAATATCATACTATGAATGCTCTATTGAGTTTTTTTGCAGAATGTATCATGTTGAGGAATTGGTCTATAAATAAAACAACATTTTACTTGGGATCCATTTGTAGTTGGGTGATGGTTAGAGTGAACATGTCCTTTTACATTTTGAAATTTTAGAGATTTTAGATTCTTTTGGTTCTTCATAGGGGTGTCCTGGCCTTTTCCAATGAGTCAAATTGTACTTGAATGTACCCCCTTTGGCGCCCTTTAGTATTTGTTTGAATTAGATATAGAATGCTAGTGCTTGTATATAAATTTAATACAATTTTGTTTGAAATGTGATTATTTTTGTTGATTATGATTAAAATTAAAAACTAACACATAAGAAAAAAGGGTTTTTAAGTTTAAGACCAACGGTTGGCTTGGTGGATGAGGCACTATCTTACTAGGTGTGATGTTGGGGTAGTGTGATGCCTAGATTCGAGCCTTACTAAATTTTAGACACAACTTTCCCTCCTAGCGTGGTTAAAAAAAAAGGTTGTAAAGTTATTAATCACCTTGATCAAGGAGAAATCAGTGAGCATTTGAAACTACAAAAAATTTCATTTTTTTATCTGAACAAGAACGATGTTCATCTTTTAGCTTTAATATTAGTTCAGATTATGCAAGCGATATAGAGTAAAATCACCATCGTCATCGTGATTTTTATGGTCAAGAATTTTGAATATTGTCTTCATGTAGGGGTGGTAATTCCTGACATGTCTCATAAACATGACTCGGATCTGACACAATTAGTTGTTTGTGTCATAAACAGGGTCAACACGATTAACACAAATAATAAATAGGTTTGGTTTGGGTTTCATCCCTCATCTTTTCATAACATGCCTTGACCTTTTAATTTAACATGTCATGCCGACTTGACTAATGTGAATCTATTTAACCTGTTTAAATATATAAATGGGTGTAAGCGGATTGTGGTGACTTGAATAAAATGGGTTTAAGCGGGTTTTGTGTAAATGGGTCATAGGTTAAAAAGTAAACTGGGCATGACCCATTTATTAAATGGATGAAATGGTTGTGTCGTGTTGGCCATATAAACAGGTTGTGTACAGTTGTGAGTTTGGATGCAATTAAATAATCATTTTGTGTTTCTGGTTGATCCGTTTAGTCAAATACTCAATTCTGGACAAGACATTGAACATGGCTAACATGCCACCTAACCTTACTTTTCCACTTCAATAAATGTTACCTCGTCTTTGGCTCTATGTTTTTCTTGTAATTCTTCTGAATGACTGTTTATTTCATGGGAGATTTTCAGCCAACAAGTTTATTTTGGAAATAATATTGAAGACTTGAAGCAGGACAAGAAATAGATATACATATACGGTGAAATATATTCTGGCTACTGCTTTTTTTCAGTCCAAAATAGCTTTAGATGGGCAGACTTCTCTTCTAAGGAGCATATATGGAGTACCAATGTCAATAGACAAATTGGAATTCTTGTCCTGATATTCATATAGTGTGGGAGTTCTTCTTGACCCTTTGTGTTTCTTTTCCCCATCCTGCTCCAAACAGCTCCCATCATTTATTTTTATATGCTGAAGTTTAATGTGCAAGTGCCTAGAGTTAGGAGCTCTTCATAATTGAAAATGCTTACATCATGCTGCTATGCAATAGTTTCATGTTGTATGATAGATTTTCAGATAACAATTGCTGCCTTTTTTAATTATCAAGAAATGATAGATGCATGATATTAAAAGTTTTCAATGTTAGCCGATACTTGGCCTTATGTTTTCCATGACATCGAATTGTATTGTTCAGTCTGTAAAGTTGCTTAAACTATTATCTTACTGCATAATTTAGCTGGCTGACCCCCATGTGATGTCTTTTTTATGTGTACTTCATTTGATTCTCATATTAGACTCAAAAGGACAGTGAAACCTTGACATTGGTGTAAGAATGATATGACAAGCATAAGTAAATAATCAACTTGTTTTAATTCAAGAAATTAGTAGTAGCACGAAGTGGTTAAAATAAGTTGGTGCATCTTTCACATTGTTGAATAGTTGAAAGCATTTCCTGTTCATGGTTGAATTCCTTGCAAGCTTTGGATTACTGTGTACATGAACAAGACAAACCAACCTGTGGAAGCACTCCACGAGTAATACTCGAGAAAATTCCTAAGCTGTCCGGATCATTGCATCACAAGTCTTCTTCATACACCCACATTACCGAATCCAACACTAACATGGCTTTGTGAAAGTTTGCTTCAAACACCATTTTTTATTAAAAAAAAAAAATTTGATTCGCATGTGTTTCCAAAGTGTCTAAAGCGTGTTCAGGTTTAATTTTTTATTTTTTTATTTTTAAAAAGGGACACATTTGAATGAGTGTCAACCAACCTGTGGAAGCACTCCATGAGTAATACTCGAGAAAATTCCTAGACATAGACACAACACCTTAGAAATTTCTGTGTTTTTTAGGTTCTCATCCCTTGATCCTGCATTGTTACACTACTTTTACATCTGAATGGTCAAGGACGGTTAACAAAATTTTGCAGTTTTGTATTTAGAGCTCATTAAGTAGTTTTGTATTTAGAGCTCCTTGAAAGGATTTAACAAGTGTTGTTCTAGCTAGAGTGTAAAATTGTTAATTTGGCAGGCTTGCTTCACTAATTTATATATCTGGTATCAAATTTTCATCTGCTAAAATTTTATTTTACATTGATTTTCAAGAAGGTGATATAAGTTGATTATAATCGGAAGCTTTGATCTTACCCATTGTTGCCAATTCAAAGATTAAAGTATATTGGTATACTCCTGGGAATGTCGCAGCCTTACCATGCTGCAATCTTGAACTTTTCCCTTTATTGTTCAATGTGCTTTTCTTTTTCTTTTTCTTTTTTTTTAAGTAAAAAAAAAAAAAAAAACTCTTCCTTTAAAAGGTTTGCTTTCTTATTACCCTGTTGTGGCTTTTCATTAATAACTCGCATGATGGCTTATTTAATAAATTCATGATTAACACTTTATTTCACATTCTCTTACTTTTTTCTTTGACAAGAATTCATGCGGTCTGATTGGTTTTAACAAGAAGCCACAAACTTCATAAAAGCTTTTGAGTGGGACCTGTCTCTTTCTTCTTCTTTTTCTTCTTCTTCTTCCTTGTCCTTTTTCCCCATGCAAAACACGAAAGGGACTTGAGGCCCTAAAATTTAGGTTGAGTAGTCAACTACATTTAGGTTGAGAAGTCAACCACCTTTTCACTTGGGTGAGCTCTGTGAATCCATTTAAGTCTTCCTTTCTAGGTACTGGTTATGAAGGAAACAGGAGAGGATTTTTGTGAATACGTTGGAGGGTAGGAAGATTTTAGCTTAGTGTCCAATCCAATACAATAATGGACATTGTAACAAGAGTTTTTAAAGCTTTTGGTAGTCAGGGATGCCAAAAGCATTGAAACACTGATAATGGACATTGCACCAAGAGTTTTGAGGCTTCCTGTAACAGTGTGTCAGTGTGTGTGTGTGTGTGTGTGTGTGTGTGGGTGTGTGTGTTTAAACTAGCAACCCTCGATTGCTCAATACAGGAAAGTCGGCTAGTCCTTGTCATCTGTTCATTTGTATGACTTTTTCTAGTTGATGTCAGTGCAATTATTAACCACTTTCGTTGATTCTATATCATTTTTATGTTTCTATTTTTCAGTTCGTTTGGATAAAGTATTATTTGTAATTTGTAGGTATAGAAATAAGAGATCAGTTCAAAAGAATATAGTTAATTTAGTTTGGTGGATTCTACACAGAAGAGGCAAGGGACTGTTGGCCTGAATAATTGGTCATTATTATATTTTTGCTGAAGAGTATGATTAAGGACATATTGATAGTGCTTGGTA